GGGTCCTGATTCCAGATCATACTTCTTATCCAGATACAGAATGGTCGCCAGATGCTGAACTGACAGTGGGACATCTGTTGAATTCTGTAATTCAAGCAAAATTACGCAACCAACAACTTTGCAGTAAGCACAATCGCTATCTGATCGTGTCAGAGCTGGTAGCAAGCCTACAGGATTCTTGGCATTTGGCGAGCATGCTTTTGTGCTGCAACTCTGAGTGGCCGTGGGACCCTCTACTTGTGTTGTGGTAATTCAGTTTGATTAAACCCTTGAAGTATTTGAGTACTTGATATCAGGCAAACGCACAAGCGTTTAGCTATGATTGCACCTGCGCAGATTGCTGTGATTGCTGCCTGAGCCCCCCTTTTGTCATTGGTGACATCCTCGCCAAACCCGCAATTGCGTGACGCCATTCAAATTTCCGTCCCATCATCACCCGGTAGCTGGAAGCAGAAGCAAGGCAGCGAACAAGGCCGTGACCTTGCAATCGTTTCACCTCTCCAACCTTCTCATTTCACCGCCACTGATTGGCCACCTCCCACGTGCTTTCACAGCCAGCTGCTGACTCACGCGATCACTTGCGCCTTCACTGTTCACCACCACAGACTATATATCCGCGTCTCTCCTCCTCAGCTCGTCTCTTCTTTTTCTCTTCACATCTCAGAGTTCTTTCCCTCCCCATGCCGAGGAGTGACTTTTTTGCCTCAATGGTGGGCCCGGGGGTTGCTTCTCAATGGCCACGAGCACCAGCATGGTGGTCACCTCGCTCATTCTTCTCTTTCACGCCGTTGACTCGCCATGGCGTCCACCGTTGACTCAGCACGGTGAAATTCACCCTGACTGGTATCTTGGTTTCTGGCTGTTCAACATCTAAACACGACAATCCGTCGACACCCTCCCTTCCCTTATCGAAGAAGCAATAGCTCGGTCAGTGCTGCGCAACCACGGCGCCGCTGTTTCCCGGGAATCACCGCACGACTGCCGGGCGCGGGCCTCTCGTGCGGCCCGGGACTTCATGCCCCGATCGGGACGTACTGACTCACCGAGTGGTCTCCCTCCTTGGCCGGTCTCCCAGAGGCTGGACTGCCCGCACCCCTCGGTGTCACCTTTCCCAGTAGGGTGGCTACCCGGCACCCGAAAGTGGCGATAGCCCGCGTTAGGTAGTCCGAGGGCCGGGCTGAAAACTTGGGGTGCTGAGAGAGGGTTGGGCAGGCTCCTGGATATACCCACGCTTTGTGTGGATGCCCACTCGGGTGGAAGAAGTGGCCGACGATGAATTAGAGGGCACCCATTCACTATGCAGGCGACCTTCGGGTTAGTTTGTGAGGATTGAGCAGCCCCGACTGAGGCCCATTGGAATATACTCTCTTTGGGATGGACACTGATGGACATCGACACTCATGGATGCTGCCGCCAATAATGGAAGCCGACACTCAAGGATCTGGTCGCTCATGGATAGTGCCCCGCCGGGGCCGCCGCTCAAGAAGATCAACTCTCATGGATATCAGTATTCTCATGGATATGGATGCCCCTTGAAGGGTTGGAATGGTTCGTACCTGGGGGATTTGTTGAAACAACAAAAACAAACGATCGGTGTCTGCGGATACGCGAACGTCTCATTCGTGGCCGTTGATGACAAGACGTACAGGCACAGGAAACAGGACGCTCCCGGGTGTCACTGTTCATGCTGAGCACGAGGTATCTGAGGCCAATCAATGTATATCACTCTTACTTTAGTTGATCAATCCAATTCTGTTCTTTGTTCAAATATCTTTCCCATGTCTCCTCTTATCCGTCTTGTATACATGTGGTGAATGCCTTTGCTCGAATCTTAATACGACTGTTCATATGCACTTGATACTTGGTAAGAAAAATACAATCAAATTGAGATCATACGGCTTCTCGTGTCGGATCAGAGTCAGTAGCGCACGCGGAAACGACAGGCTGCCGACGGCCCAGAGCGCAGTGTAGCGCAGTGCAATAAGTACCGGCCACAGACTCTACCAAGCAACGGCGGATTGCTTGCCAACAAAGTCTCGATATCGTGCAGTCTCTGCTGATGACCAGCTGCCATCATACCATGACAGAAGACGATTTGACTCCCAGTCCCACGTATTTTCTTAGTTTCTTCCTGCCCGACTGCTCAACTGCCTGACCCCCATAGAGTGGGGTGAATCCGAGCAACATGGTACCTACGCCTCCGTCTACTCGTTCTCCTCAACTGTATGGTCCTTGCAAGCTCCCATCTCGGGAGATCCGTCGACATAACAATGCAAGCAGAGCCCGGTGACTAGACAGGTGGTAGGCTCTCTGCTGAAACGAATTTTCCCGCATACACGCTGCTGCTCCTTTGCCTTGAGAAGCGACTTCTTGTCGTGGGTTTGACAACGTTCGCTGGGCTCAAAATCAGCCTCGAGAGCAATTGACGCGAGGCGTCGTGCTGACGTCTCGAGGGCTTCTCTGTCCAGTATTCTCAGCAGGGCGGATAACTTCGACCGGTCCAAGGTGATCTTGCAACCACATGGATACTCGAGCGAATCCAGCAGCTCAGCCTTCAAACGTATATCTTCCCGAAGAGTTTGTCTCTGTTGTTCCATGTAGTCTGTGATATATCAGCGCTGACCTCCGACTGCTTAAATGGGGTGACTTGCATATCGCTCGAGGAACAATCCATGAGTCATTCGGAACTTCGACTGTGATTTGAGACAGACATTCGGGATAGTGCAAAATCAGTCGTCGGGTGATATTTCTGAACATAGATGGCAGTCGGAGGGTCACTGCAGCGGCCAGCATGCAAGAGCTTTGTTTAAAACTCCACTTGTGCATCGATGAATCGAACCAGGTCTGGCGGAACCAGCCGATCACCGACACGCAGTCGTATTTGTCGCAAATGTTGATCAAGGCCAGGATTTCTTCTGGGCCTGGGTTCCAATGAACAGTCGGTGGCCGATGATGAATCATTCTGAGGAGAGTCTCGAGAGCCTGCGGAGGATCGGCCAAAGTGATCAGTTCTGGTAAGGCTTCAGAGAGACCTTGACCCTCCGCAAAATCCCCATGGAACATGGCTTTGAAGACTGGCGAGGCATGCGCAAGCAAGACCGAGGAGACCAAAAAGCGATCCGTTGGCCCCTGCTCTGTCCGAAGCAAGACATCCCCACCAGCGAAGAGGACGACAGTATTTTCGACAGAGAGTGCGGAAGTGGTGTGCGGCAGAGCCGTGATTGGCTCTACCGAGCCGTCGTGTGAGCGTGACGGAGTTGGCGAAGTCATTTCGCGAGAGATGATGTAGCAAAAACTTCTGGATCACAAACGTAGGTGAAATGACCGAGTTCGTTTTGTGCTGAAAGATAGATTACTAAATAGCTCCAGAACAATCCATGTGTGAAGGCAAACGCTGAAGGTGATAAGTGAAGGCGGCTGGTGTTTTGTATTGACTAGCGAAGCTAGTCACATGCAGAAGTCTCGGTCTGTCCAGACAGATGTAGCATGCGCAATCATCACCGAGACTGCTAAAGAATTTACAGCTCTGGCGAATCTCTCTCCGAAAAGCTTACCCACCCTTTTCCACATCAACTAGGACTGGTCAGCAGGGTCCAGTGGTGGTCTGTCAGTCTTAAGTGTTGATATGCGGTTGATCCAAGAGAGACTCGTATTCTCTAAACCAATCTGTATTAGAGACTCAGAGCGGTTTGGCAAGGGTTCTGAATCCATAGCCTAATTGGAGTATTGCTGCGACTGCCACCATGCAGCAAGTCTGTCTAAAGCTATCCCCAACCATGGTCAATCCGAACCACTCATCGAGGTGCGGTTGAGTCACCGATATGCAATCGTACTTGTCAAGCAGGCTAGTAAGTTTCAGGATCTCTTCCGGCCCAAGGACCCCAAGACCTCTCTGTACGATGATGGATCAACCTGAGAAGAGATTCCAGAGGTCCCTACGGATCGGCTAGTGTTATGAGCTTCGCTTCCTGCGGTAGAAAGACGCTTCGATGAATTATCGGCGTAGCATGGCCTTAAAGACGGTAGAAGCTTGGGCAAGGCAGGCAGACGGTACTAGAAACCGTCTGGATGGCGACAATTCGCTAGTAAGGAATAAATCTCCGTCCACGCCGAGACCGACGATTCATCGAGGTCAGGAGATGTCATAGCGTGTGCCGAAGGTCGAGTTCAAGAAGATTGGCTCCGGAACACTCTATGGGACAAGACTTCAGGATAGGAGACCAGCCACATCTAAATCATGGAGGCGTTCACAGGCATAGACGGTTGTTGACTGCTGTGTCCGACAAAAATGGCCGGGCTTCTCCACCAGACATGCGATATCGAAGCAGGCGGCCTAGAAGGAGAGCCGCCGCTTTCAAGTATTTTTGCGTCGGTGCAAGCTTTCTATACGTGGGCACCTCTCGGAGCTTTGAAGGGAACAAAGGCAGCAGCAAACTTACATCATATTACACAAGCCAGGGAGGACATGTTTGCAGCAGGTGAGTCTTTCGAAAGGAGGATTACAAACATCAGCGTTTGGCCGGGACGTGCGATAAGCCGCCAATCGCTTTGCGTTTGGACGTCAGTGCTTTTTTGATGCGTTGCATGGCAAGAGTCCTGAATGCATAGAAGAAGGAGAAATCACTGGCACCGCAAAGTGCTGTCCTAGTAGCATGCCAATCAACCTGAGAAGATGGCACGGGCAATATCCGCAAGCGCGAAAGATTCGTGCCTCATCAGGCGGAGATAGGCGGACAGGAGCTGGAGCCGAAGAATTTCAGCCGCATTTTGCTCGGAGATCCCTTCCAACTTTTTTGGATCAAGCAGCAAGGAAACCATACGATGCATGTGCCTACATATTCTATTCTCCTTTCCTGGCGTCGGACGAACTTCGTTTGGATGTGGAAATACCCTCGTGACCGTTGCAAAAAGAAGTGATGTCGAATCGGGGGTTGGCAAGACTTCAATCTTCACAGTATATATTGTTTGTCAAGTCCTTCACAGCCATGAAATTCCCCCAAGGTTGCTTGGTGTAGGGGTAGCATGCGACGTTGTGGAGTGGCTTGGCCATCAACAACACCGTCTCGACCGCGGTTCGATTCCGCGAGCAGCCAGTCTTTCAAGGCTGCACCTGAAAAAGGTGCTATTCATTTTTTTTTTCCTTCTGCATTCCTAAATACCCGCCGCTGTGCTGCACAGTGATGCATCGCATGCAAGTTTCTTATCGTCCGACGTACATCATTGACTTGTGCGATCAACGTGATACGTTTTTTAGCATGCGTAGGACGAAGTGGCCACCCAACTGTTCGTGTTGGTCGAGGGTGGTGCCGTGGGTGTCATACACGGCCGCCACCATCTGCTATCTGACACCCACGGCACCACCCTCTGCTATCTGCCTTCATGTACGAAACGCACTGTCAGACGACTCAATGCCTTGTTCTATCCTGGAAAAAAAGCTGCGTCCGATAAGGACTGTGTGGCAGTGGCATCGCCATGGCGGGGCTGTAATGAGAGCCAAGCCAGCCAAGCCGCTTGTTGCTAATGTCAGCCTCTTATTATAGAAATGAGACTCAGGCCACCAGCATTGTCTCCAGCTTCATTCTCTTCCGCTGACGGATCGCGGAGTATATCACCAATGTATGCCCCACATCAATCTCAAGGCTAAGTACCTCACTTTCTTTTTGCCTGATCACCCTTTCTTTGGTCAGTCCTTCCCTTCAATCTCAAGCCTGAACAGCCCGCTGGTCCGCCCACTACATCCAACATGTCTTCCTCCACTACCGCAAACTCCTCCACCACCACCACAACAACAACAACCTACAACTTCATCGACCTCGAACCCTCCCGCTCCTACCACGCTTCCGTCGTCGCCGCCGACCCCACAGCAACAACTCTCCTCCTCACGGCGCCGGACTTCGCCAGCCTCACCGTCTCCGTAACATTCGGCGCCTGGGCTCAAGTCACCCCACCCCCGAACGCCGACAGCGGCGTCTGGGACAGCCTCGTCACGATCCCGCAAGTCAGCCATCCCGAGAACGTAGTATCCTACAGCGAGCGATGCGAAGTCGCAGCCAGGACAGCGACAAAATGCACATTTTCAAACGACGGGAAAGTGCAGACGAGGACACAGTTGGCGAGTGGGACGTTTAGCGTGGCGGCGATGGCTGTGACGGTCACGGCGGGCGCGGAGAAGCTTGCCACTGTGACGCCGGCGGGGAGTCCCACGCCTGCCGGGGACGGGTTGAGCTCGGCGAGTGGGGCGGCGGTGCCGACGCCTAGTCAGGGGAGTGCAGCGGTGCAGACGTACGGTGTGGATGTGGGTGTGCTTGGGCTGGCGGGAATCGCGCTGGCTTTCTTCATGCGCTGATAGCTGGCGGTACTACGCTGGCTGCGCAAGGTGCTGATGTCATATTTCTCGCGGAAGTTTCCCACCACCACCCGCCTCATCCCTCAGTACCTATGAGCTTCAACTACGAATCGGCAATGAGTCTTCTCATGCTTAGCGAAGGAGCTACGTCGACAAATGTTGTATGGCAGTGGCCGTGGCCCGAATCTATAGACAGAGCCGAACCAAGCCACCCGAGGCCATATCCCTGGAAGCCATTGATGAGATACACATTGTGGCTCCAGCTCATTAATTGCAAGTCGATAAAAAATGGTAGCTTCTGGACGCATGAATATTAAGACTTCGGCGAAGTTGGTACACAAGCGAAGTGGCTTGTTTGCACTTCGCCCCAAATGATCGGAAGGTCACATGACATGATGAGCACAGATCTTGTTCGTGCTTTTGAGGCATGTGGGTCTGGACATAAGTATCTTACTAGATAAGAAGTTACAACGGGCTATCTTTATCGAATTATATTTTGCTGTACGGCCGTGACTAAGTAAAATCACAGAAAGAAGTTGAAGTGGCTGTGTTGCCAGATGCCTTCTACAGGCTTGGGGCGTTTGTCACACCTGCGGAGCCAGAGCTTATAGAGAGCAGATCTCCCAGCCAAGCGACAATGCCGCTGGGACAAGAGGCAGGCTCGAGAGTCGTGGAAACCGCGACGCCCCGGAGGAGGATCTGAGTAGCAGAAAGCGGGCAGCAACTCGGTGTCTGTCCACGAAAAAGATCTCCTCAACAGGCAAAATACCTGGTGGGAATGATCAGGTCCCTACGTCTTTTTCGATAACTTGCAAGACGAATGGTGGACTTCTCTGCGTCTTCGCCCGCCGGCCAAGCTAGGCCTCTCCTCTACGGGTATTTTGACGGCTTCCGCAGCCCTATACCAATGATCGCAAGACCATGTGGGAGTTCACCTCGCGAAGAAGCTAGCCACTAACACAAGCAGACCGACCGTGCCTACGTTTGTCCCAAGGGCATTTGACGCCGCGTTGCTGGAGGAGTTGGAGCCGGTGGAAGGAGCAAAGGTGGCGCTGCTCTCGTGCGCGGAGCTTATGCCAGCCCTGGTAGGTGACGTCGGAGTGGTTGTAACTACATCACTGGGAGCAGTCGTGGCAGAAGAGAGCTTCTCGAGCCCTGCGGTGATGGTGAGAGGAACCGGTCGTAGGCTGTAGTACGAGGCATCCCAGGAAGAGTCCTGCGAATTCAGCGTGGAGGTCTCGCCAGAGGGGTGCGTGATAGCACACTGGACCGCAGCTCCGGATGAGACCTCGCAGTATTCACCGAAGATGATTGGCCGTAGAGGGTTCCGAGTGTAGCTAGGTTTCCAGTACATCTCCCAGATTGCTTGATCGACTTGCGGAGGCGGAGTGATCTGGGCCCAGGAACCGAACGCTATTGAAAGAGTGACCTCATCGAAAGCGGTGGGGCCATACAGTATCAAGGTAGTGGTCGTTGGATCTGCAGCAACCACCGAGGCGAGATATGTGACGTTGGACGGAAATTCGGGGATGTTATAAGTCGTCACGGAAGTGGAAGCCGACATCTTTGATGTGTCGTTGTGTAGCAGAGAGCAAGAACAGGGACCAATACAAAGGAAACGGTCAACTCACTTTTTGAGAGGAAAATCTAAAAAATGTCAACACAATATTTGCACACGGACATAATCACGACCCGCGCGCTTGGTGTACCACGGGGGAGCGTCCGCACAACGCATTTTCAGGCATCCACAGAGCGCACACATCGCCTTCGGAAAATGAGTCGCATACTATCGACGAAACTCTTGGTGACATGTGGCAACAGTAGCAGATGTAGCTCAGTCGTGAAGAAGCTGTAGTCGGAAGAAAGGCACAGAAAGGGCAACAAGAGCATCTGAAGGGGAAGCAGTCAACTCCAGCAACGCAGCCAATGAGAAGCGCCATGTCATGCCAATGCTTGGCTTGTGGTAGAGTGCGACCTCTCCTCCCCATCGGGCATGATGGGGCACGATCCTGTTTTCTATTTTTTGTACATGGCACACGACAGGCATTTGTGAATTGCGATTGCGATTGCGGTTGAATGTACCGATACCCTGGTCGCACAATCCGCCGGTCGTGGCTGAAATCGCAATCGTTCCAGGAAGCCAGGTCCCAGTATTGCTCAACTGTGTGCGCTTAGAATATATATGAGAGGCTCAACGATGGCGGCGGTAATTGCTGAACCGCCGGAAAGCTCTATACAATTGTCTGATTTGGAAGCCACCATTAGGGATGGTGAGATGCGAAGCAACCCATGTGAGTCGAGCTCCGACAGGTAATTAATATAATTCACAACCAATTTCCGGTATCTAAACTATGAGAGTCCTCCAGTGTTGTCCGACGTTCTGGTGGCTAAGCATATTGCTTTTCTGTTCTTTCGAGTTTTCCTTGCGGATCAGCTCTGAAGCTTCACTAGCAACGCAGCATGGTACAACCTGCTAGCATTCGGAGCGAAGACAAAGGAGACCCTCTAGACAGCTCGGGTATTTGCCTTCTGTCTCATGATGGACCTCCGAGGACTATTGTCCTTGTATATCCTCGAGCGTGTTATGGACAGACTGATTGCCGAGCAGAAAGCGACCAGTCAGCCTGCCGTAAAACCATGCCAGATCTTCGTTTTGATCGGCGGCACAAGCACCGGAGGGTTACTTCGCTCAAGAGCTATAGTATCTCTTGACTAATCTGGTGCAGGTTCGTAGCTATTCGTCCATTTGCCTCCATTAAAGGCGACCGAGCATTAATCTACCGCAAAAGAAACGTTGCGACCAAGCCGAGAAGCCCCAGTGTGCCCATTCTTGAATCTGAAGGGCCAGGCGCAGCGTTTGTCTCAGCAGGTTGAGCAGCGGCAGTGCTACTACTCAGTAATTTAGTCAAGCCGCCACCGGGAAAGGAGGTCGCTGTGGTAGACATTGGTCCGGGTCGAGCGAGCGTTGGTGTAGCGGAGATAAGCTTCTCGAGTCCAGCAGTGATGGTCAAAGGGACTTGTCTGACGGGATGATATTCTGACACCTCCTGCAACTCGTAGGTGGTCCCGGTCTTGGAGGCCCAACACTGGGTCGCCACAAGGTCGGATATGCCACACCACTCGCTGTAGACAAACCCTGGTGTAGAAATCGACTTAAGGTCTTCCTCCAAGAACAAGCAGCCCCAAGTCCCTCTACTGACAGGAGGCGCTGGTGTGACTTCCGCCCAAGGTCCAACAGTCATGGTGGCGTTCATCAGGTGTCCGCAGCCATGAGGACATTCGTAAGCGACCGTGGTAGCCGTGGCATTGGCACCTATGATGGAAGCGTGCAGTGTTACCCCGTGTTGCGCACCGATTATGTTCCAAGTGACGACCGAGGTTGAGTCAGACATGTCTGGTGAGATTGCAAAATGAATGGAGTCGGGTGATGTAAGAGAAGTAGAACGAAATTTTAAATGAAGACATACACAAACCAAGAACGTCAAGATGGGCAAGGCGACGGGAGAGCCAAACTATCCTTGAGGGTCATGTTGAATATCACAATGGTAGAGATTCAACCAGTCTGCAAAAAGTGGTTCGAGCGGAGATTACGAGCACAGACATTGGAGGCCTCGCCAGCGGAGAAGTCGGAAAGCTCGATATGGCGATTATTATACACTAGTGTTGTGGTATGTCCTCATCTCTGTCTCGTCCGCCGAACAAGATGTGTCATGTGTCACCGCACGAAGAGCAAAGCTAACAGTCCAA